TGCTTTCTCTCCCCTGGAGGAATAGGCCATATGTAGAGACAGATGTGAGACTGAAGTCTTTTTTACATATAAATAATGCTGGGAGAGAATGAGAACATTCCTGTAAGGTGGAGGTTGGGGAAGAACAGAGTTTACTGTAAGCCAGAGATGACCAACTTGTTCTTGTATGCACTTTTAAAAAACCTTCTAGTCATGTATAATCTATAAGCCTAAATGTGTATAAAGTATTTGTACAGTAAATTAGTAGTAATAATAATAGAGCAAGTGTCTGGGTAACCCAGGTCAAATAATAGAACATTGCCAGCACCCAGGAGCTCCCCCAGCATTCTTTTTGATCACCTACCCACACCCCTGTTCTGAGGGAGTCTCCTGACTCCTGTGGTAATGATTTTCTTGCTTTTCTCTTTAGATTTATGACTTTTACATGTGTCCCTAAATGATTTAGGTTCATTTTGCCTGAATCACACTGCATTTATCCTTTTGTGTCTTGATCCTTTCACTCAACATTTTGTTTATAATAATCACACGTTATTGCTATAGCTATAATTTATTCTCTCTTACTAATATTTCATTGTATGACTTTACCACAATTTATTTATTATTTTATTGTTGATGGGTGTTTTTGTTTCCAATCTGGGTTACTACAAATAACACCACTTTGGACATTCTTTTCTTTCGGTGCAGGCATTTCTGTTGGATATACATTAGGTTGAACCATATGAAATTACCATTTTTGTGGCTCAAACATCAAATAATAATTTCATGTGGTTCAATCTAATAACTAGGGGTAGAATTGTTAGATCATAGAAAATACATATGTTCAATTTTAGTCGATTTTGCCAAATAGTTTTCTAAAGATCTCTTACCAACTTTATTTCCTGCCAGTAATTTATAATTGTTGCTTCACATTCTGGCCAACACTCGATACTGTGATTTTTTATTGTGGTTTTCATTTGCATTTACTGGTTACTAATGAGGTTGAACACATTTTCACTTGTTTTGGCCATTTCAGTTTCTTCTTATGAAGTACCTAAGTCACTTTCCCGTTTTTCTTTTCGGTGGTTTGTCTTTGTCTTGTTGATTAGTGGGAGTTCTATATATTCTAGATACGAATCCTTGATGGTTAAATGTATTACATATATCTTCTCTCATTCTGTGTTTTTTAAATTCTTAATGTTTTTTGACTCACTGCAACCTCTACCTCCTGGACTCAAGCAGTCTTCCTGCCCCAGCCTCCCAAATAGGACCACAGGTGTGCACCACCACGCCCAGCTAATTTTTTTATTTTTTGTAGAGATGGGGTCTCACTATTTTGCTCAGGCTGGTCTCGAACTCCTGGCCTCAAGTGATCCTTCCACCTCAACCTCCAAAAGTGCTGGGATTACAGGTGTGAGCCACTGCGCCTGGCCTTAATGTGTCTTTTGATGAAAAAATATTCTCAACTTTAATATAGTCAAATGTATCTGTCATTCTTTTTTATAGTTAATGCTTTATCTACAAACTCTTTTACTCAAGATCTTGAAGCTATTCTTTTATCTTCTAAGAGCTTTATATTTTCATTTTTAGGCCTATAATCCATCTAAAGTTGATTTTTGCATGTGGAGTGAGGTTGAGGTTCATTTTCATTTTTCCCATAAGGGATATCCAGTTGTCCCAGCACCAGTTGGTGAAAAGACCATCCACTTCTTTGTGGTGTCACGTCTGTCATAAATAAGGGTCTACATGTACCTGTGTCTGATCTAGGCTCTTTGTTCTATTTCATTGGTCTGTTGATCTATTCCTGCACTGATACCTCACTGTATTAATTTTTTTTCTTTTTCTTTTTCTTTCTTTTTTTTTTTTGAGACAGAGTCTTGCTCTGTCACCAGGCCGGAGTGCAGTGGCACGATCTTGGCTCTCTTCAGCCACCACCTCCCGGATTCAAGGAATTCTCCTGCTTCAGCCTCCTGAGTAGCTGGGATTACAGATGCCCACCACCATGCCTGTCTAATTTTTGTATTTTTAGTAGAGACGGGGTTTCACCATGTTGGCCAGGCTGGTCTCAAACTCCTGACCTCAGGTGATCCACCTGCCTCGGCCTTCCAAAGTGCTGGGATTACAGGCATGAGCCACTGCACATAGCCTACTGTATTAATTTCTATAGCTTCATAGTAACTAAGCCCCCACCTTGTTGTTTTTCTTTGTAGAGATGAGGTCTTGCTCTGTCATCCAGGCTGGAATGCAGTGGCATGATCATAGTTTACTGCTGTCTCAACCTCCTGGGCTCAGGCAATTTTCCTGGCTCAAGCAATTTTCCTGCCTCAATCTCCTGAGTAGCTAGGACTATGGGTGTACACCACCATGCCCGGCTAAGTTTTAAATTTTTGTAGAAGCAGAGGCTCACTGTCTTGCCTAGGCTGATCTCGATTTCTTGGCCTCAAGCTATCTTCCCACTTTGGCCTCCCAAGGTACTGGGATTACAGGTGTGAGCCACCACGCCCAGCCTATTCTTCTTTTTTAAGAGTACCTTGGCTATTCTTGTCCTTCTGCCTTTCCATACACGTTTTAGAATCCGCTTGTTGAGTTTCAAAAAAGTCTGTTGGGATTTTGATTGAGGTTATATTTAATTTATCAATCAACTTGTTTAGAATTGACATCTTTATAATAGTAAGGTTTTTGTTTAGGAATAGAATATATATCACTTCATTAATAAGGTCTACTTTATTGTGTAACAAAAAATTATTTGAGATAAAATTTACAATTTTAATGATTTTTTAATTGTAAAATGTGCACAACATAAAATTTACAATTTTAATCATTTTAAAGTATACAAGTCAATGGCTTTTAGTACATTTATAATGTGCAACTCTCACCAGTATCCAAGTTTAGAAGATTTTTATTATGCCCCCCCAAAAAAAACCAGTACCCATTAAATATCCATTAAGCAGCCACTCCCCAGTTCATAGTAACCTCTGCTTTCTGTCTTAGAGGATTTGCCTATTATGAACATTTCATATAAATGGAATCATATATATGTGGACTTTGGTGCCTGGCCTCTTTCAGTCACAGCAATATTTTTAAGGTTTATCTGTGACGTAACATGTATCAGAACTTCATTCCTTGTTATGGCTGAGTACTATTCTATTGTATGGATATACCACATTTTAATGATGTGGATATACCACATGAATCTATCTGTTGATGGGTGTTTGTTGATAAAATTCTATCCTTTCTTTTTTTTTTTTTTTTTTTTTGAGACAGTCTCACTCTGTTGCAGGCTGGAGTGCAATGGCGCAATCTCGGCTCACTGCAACCTCCGCCTCCCAGGTTCAAACAATTCTCCTGCCTCAGCCTCCCAAGTAGCTGGGATTACAGGCATGTGCCACCAAACCCAGCTAATTTCTGTATTTTTGGTAGAGATGGGGTTTCCCCATGTTGGCCAGGTGGGTCTCGAACCCCTGACCTTAAGTGATCTCTCCGCGTTGGCCTCCCAAAGTGCTGGGATTACAGGCGTGAGCCACCGTGCCTGGCCAATAAGATTATGTACTTTTTTATAGAGCACTCTCATGTTTTATTAGATTTATTCTAAGGTAAACATTTTCAAATGCTTTAAATTGTATTTTTATAAAATTTCATTTTGTTTATTGCTATGGAGTATATGACATTGATTGATATCCTTTAAGTCTGAATTTTGCTAAACTCTCTTAATAATTCCAAAATTTATTTGTAGAGTCTTTTGGACCAATTATATCATTGTGATGAATGAGTTTTGTTTCTTCCTTTCTGTTTATTCTGCCCTGTGTTTCTTTTTCTAGTCTTACCCTACTGACTAGATTCTCTAGTACAGTGTTGAACAGAGTAGTGATAGCAAGCAACCTTGACTTACTCTGGATCCCAAAGGAAAAGCTTTTAGTCCTTCAACGTCAAGTGTGATATTTGCTGCATATCTGTACATGTTTCAAATAGTCTTTATCTTAGCTGACGTCTAACTACCTAAGAGGACTCTTTTTTGGTTTTAATTGTTTTAAAAATATTTTTTTGAAGCAGGTCTCTCTTTTGCCCAGGCTGGAATGCAGTGGCATGATCTTGGCTAACTTCAGCCTTGACCTCTGAGGCTCAAGTGATCCTCCCACCTCAGCCTCGTGAGTAGCTGGAACTAAAGGTGTGTGCCACCACACCTAGCTAATTTTTATATATTTTTTATAGAGATGGAGTTTCACCATGTTGCCCAGGCTGGTCTTGAACTCCTGGGTTCACGAGATCTGCATACCTCGGCCTCCCAAGGTGCTGGGACTACAGGCGAGAGTCACCGCACCTGGCTCAGCATTGTTTTAAATGAAATATTTTAATATTCTCCTTTGAGCATTTATAATATTCTGATAGATCCATGTTATCAGCAACTGGCTGACTCTGCTTTTGTTAATACACAATATTAATATAATACATAGTATTAACAGAAGCAGAGTTCTGATATCTCACTTTTACTAAACTTTTGCTGCAGGGGCTGTTCCCATGTCTCTGTCAATTCTGTTGAATATTTGAAGGAGATGATATGCATGATATTTCTGTACCCCTGTGAGGTGTAGTGTAACCTCCCATGGCTGTCAGGAGAGGCAGGCCTTCTCACACATTAGCATCTGTGTTTAGTCATGCCCTTTGAGTCTGTGGAATAAGAGGTGATGGACTGGAAGGGAGCATTAGTGAGCAGAAGACGATAGGTTTTCCAGAGGTAGACTGTGGGCTTGTGGTGGCTTTGGAAGTGTCTATGGGACTAGAAGGACTTAAGAACTCAACCTGGAATCAGACCAGCCAAAGCCTACATATGTCTGAATGAGTGTGCCTGTCCCCCACAAGAGCCTGAATACTCTTATCTGAGTGGAGAGAGCACAGGCAACATTGTCTGAAGACTTGGGTGTCTGTTCCTCCAAAGCTCTGTGAATTTTTAGGATTGCAGTTGCTGTTCTCTACCCAGAAGGAACCTTTGAAATTACTAATGAAGAGTTGGCCTTTCTCCATTTCAGATCGATATCAGTAAATGCCATTATTTAGTGGATTTGGACACCATGAGAGAAACACCTCGGGAGCCAAAATATTCATCCAATAAAGAAGAATGGATCAGCTTGGCCTATAGACCATTCCTTGATGCTTCTAGGTATGTGGCTTTAATCCTATGGGATATTCCAGGACTAGTAAGGGTAAAAATTGGATTCTAGGATTTTATAATTTCCAGTCCTGGGCTGACTCTAGTAGCCATTGTGTGTGTGTTTGTGTGTGTGTGTGTGTGTGTGTGTGTGTGTGTGAGATGGAGTCTCACTCTGTTGCCCAGGCTGGTGTGATCTCAATTCCCTACAACCTCTGCCTCCCGGATTCAAGTGATTCTCCTGCCTCAGCCTCCCAAGTACCTGATTACAGGCACACACTACCACGCCTGGCTAATTTTTCTATTTTTGGTAGAGACAGGGTTTTGCTATATTGGCCAGGCTCTTTTCCAACTCCTGACCTCAGGTGATCCACCCGCCTTGGTCTCCCAAAGTGCTGGGATTACAAGCGTGAGCCACCGTGCCCGGCCCATCGTTTTCTTTTTATTTGGGCCCAGTTTCCTGATAAATCTAAAGGATTTCTTTTTTGAGGCAGCAGAATGCAAAGTATATTCTGGTTTCACCCAAGTGAAAGGATCCAGGTAAAGCACATAGGTCTGCTGAAGAAAGCACAAGTGTTTGACACTGATTATTTTTGGCAACCAGCTTCAGCTGAGAGCATTTTGACACTGTTAGGAAGATTGACTATGCCCTTTGAGGAACTAGAAGTTCATATTCATTATTTTCAGGCTCAAGGCTCAGCCAGGGCTGAGATACACCTTATTCAGTCTTAAATAGAGAGACCAAATGGACCAGGGCTTGGCTCGCTCTTCAGAAAGGTCTCAGAATTAATGATAAGAGGGGATCAAGCATTCAGGTAAGGGAGTAATGGGGAAGGGGAGTTGGAGGGGCCAAGCTGTCTGAGGGCAGAGGTCCAGGTAAATAGACAGTTGGAGTTAGGGAGATACAGGGAGGCCTGGTGAGCAGAGCCCAGGAGCCAGGAGGTCTGGAAGGAAGCAAAAGACAGAGGACCTGGTCCTGAGAGTCAGGTCTGGGGCTCAGAAACTGGGACTGGGCCCAGGACAGGACTCCATAAAGGTGAAGTAAGCACAGGTACTAGGTGTAAGTCTGAGGAACCAAAATATTGATCAGGATACCAAGACAGGAAATGAAATATGGAGAGAAAGGCAAGGGTCCCTAATTACTGAAATGGAGATATAAGGCTGGTTCTTCACGAGTAAGCAAGAATCTAGTTCTGAGTGAGTTCAGTTAAAGCTGGACTAGCAGGAAGGCCGAGATGCTGACCTGGATACCAGGTCACTAGCTTGGTCATAGAAGTGAGGCCAAAACTGAGTTTGGTGAGCTGTGGTAGCCCAGGCAGGTCATTGTGCTTTTAGACTGAATCTCTTCAGTGACTTTATAGATAATTACAACTGGCAAGGATGGGATGGTTGGGGAGAGGAGGGCAGTCAAGAGGCACCTGAGTTCTTGAGTGATTCTCGAATATAGTCTCTTGAGCCACACTCTCATCCTGTAAGTCTTTTTGTAGCCTGAAGTCATTCCCTCAAGTATCTGATACATAATTTCTAGGAGTGCCATTTCTACATAATGGGAAATAGTGCTTCTTCTTAACAACAACAACAAACATTTTTTTTGAGACAGTCTCACTTTCTCACCACGCTGGAGTGCAGTGGCACAATCTCAGCTCCCTGTAACCTCTACCTCCTGGGCTCAAGCAATCCTCCCACCTCAGCTTCCCAAGGCACCTGCCACCATGCCCAGCTAATTTTTGTATTTTTTGTAGCGACGGGGTTTTGCCATATTGCCCAAGCTGGTTTTAAACTTGTAAACTCAAGCTATCCGCTCACCTCAGTCTCCCAAAGTGCTGGGATGACCCATGGCACCCAGCCTTAACAATTTCTTTTTTTTTTTTTTGAGATGGAGTCTTGCTCTGTCTCCCAGTCTGGAGCAAAGTGGCGTGACCTCAGCCCCAAAGTGCTAGGATTATAGACGTGAGCCACCACTACTCCTGGCCCTTAACAAATATTTTTTGGGAGCCTGCAGTGTTCTAGGTGATTTGGACATACAGTGAATAAAACAAAGACTTTCTTCTAGTGAAGCTTGTTTGGAGGTGGGTAGGGAAGACATATAATGTATAAGAAAATAAGTTATATAGTATATTAGAGGATGATAAATGCAAGGAAAAAGTGTATTAGGTTAAGAGAAGCATTGAGAGTTCCATGAGAGCTGGGGGTTACACTTTGAGCTAGAGTGGTCAGAGCTGCCCTCAATGAAAAGATGATATTCAAACAAAGACTTGAAAGATGTAAGGGCATTAGCCATGTGGACATCTGAGGGAACAGCTAGTGAAACGCTGTGGCATGAGGAAGAAACAGGAGGCCAGTGAGGCTGGAGCTGAGCAAGAGTGAAGAATAGCAGGTGGTGTGGTCAGAGTGCAGTAGGAGTGAGAGTGCAGGTTATAAAGAGCTTTGTAGGCTGTTGAAAGGCCTATACTCTCAATTAAATGGGAAGCCACTGTAGGGTTTTGAGCAGAGACTTGATATAACTTTTAAAAGGATCATTTTCAGTTCTGTGCTGAGAATAAATGGTAGCAAGTAAGAATAGAAGCAGGGAGACCAGTTAGGCCACTCTTGCAATAGGCCAGGCAAGAGATGAGGGTTCTTCAGATCAGGGAGAGGGCAGTGGAGATAATGAGAGGTAGTTATGCTGAGGATATAGAGAAATGCACTGAATTTGAGGTGTGAAAGAAAGGAGGGAAAGATGATCCCTAGGGATTTTGATCCAAGAAACTAGAAAACTGAAATTGCTATTAATTGAGATGGGAGAAACTGCAAGTAGAACAGGTTTTAGGGGTACAGTGAGAGATAAGCTTTAGTTAAGTTCGATATCAGTCAAACTTAACTGGTCAGTTGCCAGGCAAATAGAATTATTGAACCCACAGCTAGACATACAGTCTAGAGTTCAATGGGGAAGTCTGAGCTAGAGACTCAGACTCATTTAGAACTGTTGGCATTTAGATGATATTTTTTAAAAACATGAGACTAGATGAGATCACCAAAGGAGAGAATGAATTTAGGGACGAGATGAGGCCAGGGAAACTCCAGTATGTAGAGATTAGGGAGAAGAGGAGGAACCAGCAAAGGTGACTGAGGGCGATCATCAGTAAAGTAGTAGGAAACTCAGGAGAGGAGAGTACCCTGGAAGCTAAGGGAAGAAAATGTTTTCAGGAGGAAGGAGTGGTCACCTGTGTCAGAAGCTGTTCATAAAACAGGTCAAATGAAGAATAACAACTGTCCATTAGATTTGGCAACTAGTAAAGGCAATTTGGGTGAAGTGGGTGGGGTGTAGGGACTGGAGAGATTGATTAGAAAGGTTGAAGTGAGAACAGTAGAAGAATTGGGATAGCAAATAGCAAGTCTTTTGAAGAGTTTTGCTATACAGGGAAGCAGGGAAATAGGACTATATCTGGTGGTGGGTGTCAGGAAAAGTGATAACTGGAGATTTTTTATCTTTTTTAAAAAAACTTTTAGTATGGCCAGGTGCAGTGGCTCACACCTGTAATTGCAGCACTTTGGGAGGCTGAGGCAGGTAGATCACTTGAGGCCAGGAGTTCGAGACCAGCCTGGCCAACATGATGAAACCCTGTCTCTATTAAAAATACAAAAAAAATTAGCTGGGTGTGGTGGTGCGCACCTATAGTCTCAGCTACACAGGAGGCTGAGACATGAGAATTGCTTGAACCTGGGAGGCAGAGGTCGCAGTGAGCCAAGATCGCACCACTGCACTCCAACTCCAACCTGGGCGATAGAGCGAGACCTTGTCTCAAAACAGCAACAACAACAACAACAAAAAAGCAGTGGATGAACCTACATAGACACATCATTATCATCCAAAGCGCACGGTTTACATTAGGATTCACTCTTTTTTTTTTTTTTTTTTTTTGAAACAGAGTCTCTCTCTGTCACCCAGGCTGGAGTGCAGTGGCTCAATCTCGGCTCACTACAAGCTCCGCCTCCCAGGTTCACATCATTCTCCTGCCTCAGCCTCCCGAGTAGCTGAGACTACAGGCGCCCGCCACCATGCCCGGCTAATTTTTTGTATTTTTAGTAGAGACGGGGTTTCACCATGTTGGCCAGGATAGTATTGATCTCCTGACCTCGTGATCTGCCCGCCTCGGCCTCCCAAAGTGCTGGGATTACAGGCGTGAGCCACCACGTCTGGCCCAGGGTTCACTTTTTGGTGTTACACAGTTCTATGGCATAATGTCATGTGTCTCCCATTACTGTTTCATGTGAAATAGTTTCACTGCTCCAAAACTCTGTGCTCTACCTCCATGCTCTATTCTCCCCTGCTACATTCCCGGACAACCACTAATCTTTTTACTGTCTTCATAGTTGTGCCTTTTCCAGAATGTTGTATAGCTTGAATCATACAGCAAGCTTTTCATATTGAGTTCTTTCACTTAGCAAGCTGCATTTAAGTTTCTTCTGAGTCTTTTCATGGCTTAATAGCTTATTTCTTTTGAACTCTGAGTAATATTCCATTGTCTGGATGTGCCACAGTTTATTCACCTACTGAAGGATATCTTTGGTCGCTTCCAAGTTTTGACAGTGGTCTTAGTTCAGACTGCTATAACAAATGATCATAAACTGGGTGGCTTAAACAACAAACATTTACTTCTCACAGTTTTGAAGGCTGGAAGACCAACATCACGGTGCCAGTATAGTAAAGTTCTGGTAGAGGCCATCTTTCTGGCTGCAGACAGCTGACTTGTATCCTCACATGGCTGAAAGAAGACAAGCTAGCTCTCTAGCCTCGTCTTATAAGGACATTAATCCCATTCTTGAGCGCTCCACTCTTATGACCTAATTCCCTCCCAAAGGCCCACCTCCAAATACCATCACATTGGTGATTAGACTTCAACATATGAATTTCGAGGGGACACAAACAGCCCATAATAGCAATTATGAATAAAGCTGCTATAAACATCCCTGTGCAGGTGTTTGTGTGGACATACATTTTCAACTCCCTTCGGGTAATACCAAGGCGTATG